AGATGAATCGAGAGACTAAATTACACCAGACCAAGCACAATACTCGTTCTTCCACCTCCGAGAGGGAAGTGAGAATGGAGGTAAAGAACGAGTAAAAAATACTCTGCTATGTGAAAATGACGTGTTACAAAGAAAGCGATAGCAGACACAGCCAGACAAAAATCTATTCCTCAGAAGTCGCACCTCAGCTAGGGTTCATAAACGGATCCAACAAATAACAAGCACTTTTCTTTTGAGTGTGGTTTGTGCGCAACTAGCCTGACCACGTACGGGTGGTCGGCCTGTAGGACCATGATGGGCTTCGGGATCACCAGCGCGCTGCACAACACCATCGTCATTGCTGCATAACAAAACGAGAGAAGAGGGTGTTGAGAATCGTGATGATGTATGGGGACAAGAAGACAAGACAACGTAGGGGTTTATGGGTTTTTATTGTGCACTGCATGTGCGGCTCGCAATCTTGGATATGTCGCCTGAGAACTCCGAGACCGATCCCGTGAAAAGACACGCTCGGGCGGCGCCGACCCGGGCTACAAGTCTGAGGGCGTAGGGGTGATCTGCATTGAACACAGAGATGGGGTCGGGGCGAGCCATCATGCACCTCATCATGACCACGGCTGAAAATGAAAAAAACAAAACACAGCTAGGTGAGAAGAGGGCATTCCAGGAGCATTCCATGTTACCCCTAACTTAAACCTTTATGTTGTTTTTTCTGGGGTTTTTTCATTGAGTTGTCAAGAAAGAGCAAGTTGCGCTGTACCTATTGTCCCTTATCATCACCAGCACAGCTATAAAGGAAAATAATAGAAAAACATAAAATCTGAAAAAGGAACAGCATATATATAGTAGGAACAAAAAAAAATGTCGAGCACCACATGTGCGTGCGATTTGAATTAATAGACAAATGGGTGGGGAAATGACTTAAAGAGCATGGAGGTTTGGTGAATGTGTGTGAGAAAACACTAGGCAGATATACAATCATGTTTTTATTGAAAAGCACACGATGAAAGGCAAAGCAGTATGATGAGGTGAACATGAACATGGCTCGCGGTCGCGGGCAGGTGCTTAGAAGCTCGCGACGCTCCCCGCGAACAAGCACATCGCCCCCAGCTGCTGCCGCAGCTGCTCGCGCCGGACCAGCTGCACCAGGAACGGGTGGTCGCAGTGAAGGACCTGCGGCCTGGGCTGCGGCGCCGGCGCCATCCGCAGAGCCATCCGCACAGCTGCAAACAGGGCGTGGCGCCAACAACCACATCATATTGACCCAGAATGAAGCCAAGAAAAGTACACCAGTTTGTAGACTCATCCACGGGGTGTACGGCGGCAGCGGCGGCCAGGAGTTTGAAAATTACGGAAAAATTTTGTAAAAGAAATTTTCAGACTAGCTTTATTTATTTTTTTTACAAAATTTGAATATTACTTTTTTTCAAAACTTAGAATATATTAACACGTTCCCTGCGGCTCATTATTGATTTGATTTAACATAGGAACGTGACCACATGGTGGTCATGCCACAGGGAACGGGTTAAGGGATCCTAGAGGAAGTTGTAAAACCAAGTTTGGTGATAATTGAAGGCAGTCTATTTTTGTTATGAGAGTTACAATATTTTGCTTTTTAAAAAAAAATAAAAAAAAAATAGCTTTGATCGAAGGGTAGGAATTCAAAATCCAACTTTTTGTCGTAGCTGGTTTTGAATCAATTTTCAATTTTCTTTCCAATGGTGTAGTCAGTTTTGGCCTCACTGCAAAGATTCATAGAGTTTTACCTATACCCCCCTAAAATACTCAGTTTTTTGCCTCAAAATTTTAGGTATTTATATCTCCTAAACCGTTTGAGCCACAGAGCCTAGATTTGGAGTGGGGTCATACTTTATCAATGCCCTTTATTTTCAAGACAAAGATCAAAAGTGGGTACCAGATCCGAAATCTTGGGTCGATAAGGGAAAGAACTAATACTCATACACTCGGTCAGACACGTCCCCAGCATCACTTGCAGCTCACCAGATAGTTCTCTCTCTTCATTTACTAACGGTATTTTGACTTTGTGAAGTAATTTCATATAAAAATGTCACTAATTATACAAAAGATTACAAGAGATTATAAGGTTGTAGAATGATTAGATTATAGAGAAAGATTTAAGACGTGATTTTAGGGTCGTGAACTTTAGATTATTCGAGTTGTAGACCCCTTGGTTAATTTACTGTGCTTTTTTCAGACAGTGTAGGTGATATCCCCTGGTGGGCCGGTCCGACATAATTACGACATTTTCCGACATAAGCTTCCGAAATGTTTCCGACATGTTTCGACACTACTCCGACGTCGGAAAAATGTCGGAATGGTGCAAATCTCGACGTACTCCGACTTCCGACACTTCCGACTCCGACATAATCTTGTCGGAGATGAGCGGCCATGTCGGAGGTCGAGCTAGGGTAAAAAACAAATAATTTGTCCCAGTCTAACCTCTCAACGTTTCCTATAGTCTCCTATATCCCCACCTACCCCACCTTGTATCCACCCAACCCCTGAACATCGTAATTGCACATGTTAATCTCAACCTTACCTTGGTACTTACCCGGAATCGAACCCTGGTCCTTTGGGTTGGAAGTCCACTACGCTCACCACTATGCCAAGAGGACCCCGCTCTAAGAACTACGTGCGACATCCACGACTATCTCCGACATTCGTCGATGTCGGAAATGTCGGAAATGTCGGGAATGTCGGAAAGGTCGGGTATGCTTGAGGTCAGAAGTCGGTTGGTGGCTGGGATAAGTCGGACATGTCGGGGTAGTCGGATAGTCGGGAGGTCGGGTATGTCGGTGTGCCGGAAGTCGGAGGTCCGAGGTCGGGAGTCGGGAATTTCCGAAATGCCGACGTCTCCCTCTTCCTGACGTCGGGGCTTGTACGACATCACGTCCCGATATTTCCGACATACCCGACTTCCCCTAGCTGACGACCGATTTCCGACTTACGACGTATCCGACCTCCCGACAGTCCCGACTCCGACACTCCGACCTCCCGACAGTCCCGACCCCGACACTCCGACCTCCCGACAGTCCCGACCCCGACACTCCGACCTCCCGACAGTCCCGACCCCGACACTCCGACCTCCCGACAGTCCCGACACTCGAAACTCCGACTCGTCCGACCTCCCGACAGTCCCGACTCCGACACTCAGACTCGTCCGACCTCTGTAGACCGACATTCGACATGCCGACAAACCCGACGTCCGACACATTTCGGCCATAAATCCGACATAATTCCGACTTCCGATTATATCCGACATAATTCCGACACATGTCCGACTTACCAGATGTCGGACCGGCCCACCAGGGATCGTCGACGTTCCAGAAACATTAAACGCGTTAAAAAGTGCAAAGTAAAAAAGCTAATTTATTTCCACAACATAAATTGATCACATCGCATAAAGCAATAAGCAAAATTAAGATAGTTTCAACACAGAAAGCACGCAAAAACAATAATGTAAATTAGTCTGCGTCTGCGGTGTGAAAATGACGTGATACAAAGAAGCCGATAGCTGAGACAGCCAGACAACAAAAAGTTTTTCCAGTGAAGTCGCATCTCAGCTAAGGTTCATAAACTGATCCAACAAATAACAAGCACGTTGCTTTTGAGAGTGGTTTGTACGCAACTAGCCTGACCACGTACGGGTGGTCGGCCTGTAGGACCATGATGGGCTCCGGGATCACCAGCGCGCTGTACAACACCATCGTCATTGCTGCATAACAAAACAAGAGAAGAGGGTGTTGAGATGGGTGATGATGGCGTTATGATGTATGAGGCCAAGACAAAGTAGGGATTTCTAAATGGGTGTTTATTGTGCACTTCATGTGTGGCTTGCAACCTTGGATATGTCGCCTGAGAACTCCGAGACCGATCCCGTGAAAAGACACGCTCGGACGCCGCCGACCAGGGCTACAAGTCTGAGGGCGTAGGGGTGGTCTGCACTGAACACAGAGATAGGGTCGGGGCGCTCCATCAGGCACTGCAGCGTGACCACGAAGGCTGAAAATGAAAAACCATTGAAAAAACCAAAACAAAAAACAACAAAAAACAGCTGGGTGAGAAGAGGGCATTCCAGAAGCATTCCATGTTGTTACCCCTGATTTAAAGTTTTTATGCTGATTGTATTTTTGATGGAACAAGAAGGGGCATGTTGCGCCGTACCTATTGTTCACTATCACCAGCACGGCTAAGTATAAATAAAATTTAATTAAAACATAAAATCTGAAAAAAGGAAATAGATATATAGTCTGAAAAATATATTTCTAGCGCGACCATGCTGCAAACAGGGAGCGGCGCTAACAACCACCACATCATACTGTCCCGCAGAAAGCCAAGAAAAGTAGACCTGTTTGTAGAGTCATCCACGGGGCACGGCGGCAACAGCAGCTAGGGGTTTAAAAATAATAAAATTTAATTAAAACATAAAATCTGAAAAAAGGAAATAGATATATAGTCTGAAAAATATATTTCTAGCGCGACCATATCATACTGTCCCGCAGAAAGCCAAGAAAAGTAGACCTGTTTGTAGAGTCATCCACGGGGCACGGCGGCAACAGCAGCTAGGGGTTTAAAAATAAAAATCATGGAAAATCTAAGGCGTAAGTATGAAAATAAAACAAAAAACAGTGGATGAAATCTTTTCGGTATTGCGGCCGCCAAGAATCGGATCGATATCTGGCCTGCCCGTCCTATCCCTCCCTGGGCTGGAATGGATGGAAACTCGTACGCCAACATACCCCACTTTCCTAACAAACATGAAGGGCGAAAAAAAGCGAGCGTAATCAGTAACGCGGTGCAGACGTCATCGGTAAGCTATCAATCGTGACCCGGGACCCCCCGGGCGGGACCGTCTGCCGTGTGAAGGGGCACAATGGTGGGCGAAAACCTTCCATGTTTCATAAAGAGGTTTTTCTTTTCTAGCTAGCAAGCGAGGTAGGGGCGTGCGACATACATACACATACACACACCTACAAATCACAACTGTCACCAGGGTGCACAAACATACCGTGCACGCACGAACATAAACACACACAGAGCACGCGATCGCCGAGATGGTAGGCAACCCAACCGACACCACCGCCCGCCTGGGAGCCTGCGCGCGCGGCGCCGTAGGCGCCAGTCAAGCCGTGCATGCCGTGCTCTGGCTTCTGCGGGTCGTCGGGCATACAAACCTAGCTCCTAGGTTCCTAGATGGTTCGCCTTTTGTGGGTGCCAGGGGCGCGCTCGACCCGCTCGAGGGACACGAGGTCGAGGCCATCACTCTGTGAGACTCGCCCCCAGGTCGCCCCGGCCTCGGGGGTCCGCCAGGGTGCCGACGAAGAGCACGAGGTCGGGGGACTCTGGCTCCGGGATTATAATGTCCAGGATGCCGATAGCAAGGCTCTCTAAAGCGCTGGAGCTGGAATCGTCCGGATCCGAGTTTCCAGACTTTTCAACTAGTCGCAGCAGCAGAGGACTATTCGCATCGAAAATGCGCTTCCTCACCAAGCTGCGGTATTCCACTATGAACTCTGGAACAACAGCCTCAGTTCCAATCTCAACTACACACAAATAGATTGCCATTCGTTTCTTTTAAATGAAGTATGGAAATGGTCCCTCCAAAGCGCAAGCAACGCAGGAACCCGAAGAATGCGTCGAAATGAAGCCACAACCAAAGGGGATCATGTTCTGACTCCCGCCCGTATTAGTGGTTTGCATAACATTGTAAATTGTCATCGTTACCACGCCATTTGGGGAAGATTGATATTGAACGAATGGGGGTGATTATACCAAATCAATGGGCTTTGTTGGCATTGCCGCTGTTAAATACACTTTATTATAATATACTAAATAAAACTAATGTGCAAACCAGATTGATGGGATGCAAGCGAGAAAGTCATGAGGCAAGTAAACCAATTTATAAGATTAAAATAGGAACATTGTTAAAGCTTTCATTAAGGCACCCAGTGTTTTAGCTCACAATCGACTAGATTAGATATCAAATTTGTATAAATTACATCTGTGGTGCAAATATGCCTCAGTTATTTAAAAAAAATAGTTTTAAAAAATTAGCCTAAAATGCTACTTTGCATAATACAGTGCGTATCACAGACAGTCTGCAGAACATTGAAAATAGTATTATCAACCTATTTCTGTACTGCTCAAATTTGCAAATTTAAAGAAATTTTAATACAACTTATTAGTATGTTGTATCCCCACAGACTTGCTTACATCAGGGAAGCAAATAATTAGATTTGCTCTAGTTTGAACAGAATTTTAAAAAGTTCATCAGAGAGAAAAAGAAGCAGATGCCAAATAAGAAAACTGATCAGATCTGAAATGTTAAAATGTAGGTTTTTACATACCATGCGGTTAATCTCTTGCAAATAGGAACAAACTAGACATTTAGGACAATAATTTGGCTCTGCGTGTTTAAACAAAATTCTGAAACAGTTTAGAGGAGAACTTATTCAGCACTTGGAGGCTCCACAACATGCCCCACGAACAGGACCGTCTCATGGGATCGGAGAACCAGTAGAAATGGGTGATCCGCCTCGAGTTCTTCAGTCCTCATGAGGGTCCGGAAGCACATAACCATTGCTGAAACAAACAGCAGGCACAATTCTAGCAAATTAGCCTGTATATGCCCTGTAGTACATTTTCAGTGTCACCCAATCAATAGAGTAATCATTAAGTTCTGAGCTAAAACGCTACAGAAAAGTTTAAAACAGAAAACTCTCTAAAACTCAAAGTGCAAACCTATAAAGTGCACATTGTAAAACACGATAACACAACACACACACACAACACTGCCCTCACAAGACGTGTGCTACACTAGATGGTGAAAACCCCACATAAAGGCAACTAAAAAACATCTCAACTGTACCCGATGCGCAGCTATAGGGGTAGATTATGGGTATGGACCAACCGTTCGCTCTACATCCGTCTCCTCCTCTTGGCTGCTGGTTGCCTCCTCGAGCTTGACGCCCGGCTGGAGCCTCTACTGGAGCCCCTGCTGGAGCTGCGGGCGCGAGTTGCGGCTGCCTTGCGCTTCCTGACGGCGGCCTTGGGGGTCCTTCTGGGCGCCGGGGTGCTGGCGCGGCCCGGGGCGCGCTGCGGCTTGGCCGGCGCCGTCGGGGCGGGGGTGGCCGCTCGGGGTGCAGGTCGGGGAGCTCGTGGGGTGGCGGCGCGGCCGGGGCTCGGCGATGACGCGCTTCCGGGGCTGGAGTGCAGGCGCCGGGACTTGCGGGTGGCCTTGCCCGAGGCCCGCCGCCGGCCTCTCTTCCCGCCGCGGGCCCTGCTCGGGGAGGGCGTCGAGGAGGGTGGCCTCCAGTCCGAGTCCTCCGAGTCCTCAGACGCAGGTGTGCGGCCGCGGCGAGGCTTGGCCGCGGGCTTGGGCGCCTTCTGTTCGGCCCCGCGCCGGCCGCGCTGACGGCCCTGCCCGTCCTTGTCCTTGTCCTTGGAGCTGCCCGGGCGACTAGGGCCCGCGTCGTGCCCGTGCTCGCGCTCCGTGGCCTCCTCGTGGAAGGACGCCAGGCGGTACGAGCCGTTCTGGTTGAGGCGCACCAGGCCCTGCTCCACCGCGGACTGCAAGCACCCTGACAGCTCGGCCCGGAGCACGCTCCGGTCGCGGCTCACCGGGTACGTCCGCAGGAGGAAGTCGAGGATCTGCTCCAGCGACGTGCCGCGCAGGTTCTTGTGGTCCAGCGACTCCAGCGCCTCCAGGATCATGTCCGAGTTGACGGCGGCCCCGCTGCTGACCTCCTTGTCGTTCTCACCGTCCGCAGGCTGCTTGTCCTTGTCACTCTCCACAAGCAAGGGCGAGTTGGGGGTTCCTGGCTGGGCCGCGGAGGAGCCCGACCCCGAGTTCGCGTTCTCCTCGTGCTCATCGGCTCCGTCGCCGTCCTCGTCCTGGTCTTGATCCTCCAGCTCATCTTGGTCCTGATCCTGCACTTCGTCTAGCCCCGCAGACTCGAGTACGGGCCGTCCGTCTTCCTCCATGGCTGTTTGACTTCACGCACAATTTAAATAGAGTCGGGTCCGAAAGGCGACGTGGGGTGGCAACAAGCCAGTCTCGGCTGTTTCCCGGGGAACTACCGTGCCTGTTGTCTCGCGCGCGAGGCGCGGGCACTGCGACCAGCCGCAAAGACCAGTCGCAAAATGCGCACTTAACGAAAGTCAATTCTTTCGTTTATAGTCCCATTCACAGAAACCCTACGCCAAACCGCCAACCCGACGAATAGACACTTCTTTGTATGTGGAAAAAAGTTTAAAGTAAATTAAAAGCCGTTGAGACCAGTCACTGAATGAGCAAAAGATTGAGTAAAATAATCAGTCATAAGAAGAATGATATTTTATTTCCTTACATGTCTAGTGCAATATGGCGCACAGTCATGGTAATCCAAATGACATACCCTCATAATCCGTTAAATCTTAAATAAATAAAAACTATATTAACAGTAAACAAACAATAGATAAGTTGAAAGCAGATCATGTTGTAAAAAAAAATAGACACAGACAACAACAAAGAAAGCATCAATTGATATACACAAGACAACAACAATAAAAATGTTTCTGATAAAGCAAAGTAAACATATAGCACCATTACACAATAAAACACTCCAGTAATTATGAGATATTTGACTGAGATACCAAAGTCCATTAGAACACATCACATCATACCTGAGATCACATTCTGAATTTCATTTCACTAGTATGGTACTTGAAAACAAA